AAATCAGTTTTTAAAAAAAAAAAAAAAAGCTGAGTAAAAACAGCATTGGATAGTTAGCAGATGGGTAGGGAGAATAAAGTTAGTAACTTGTACACGGGAGTGACAAGTGTGCATCCTGGTTGTTGGGAGAAATGAGTCTACATCCTAAGCAAAGAGATAAGGTAAACAGTCCAAAGGGGACTAAGGAGAGGGGAGGAGGACAAGGGTGACATCATCTTTACCCTGGAAGATGTAGTTTCATAGATGGACATGAGCTCATAGTGGATGGTAACTCTCAGCCTACAATCTCCTAGTACATTAAAGGGATCAATGATAGCTTCTTGGTTAGGAGTAGGGCAAAGGCTTTAGGGGAAAGGCTGCAGAACTCTTCATTGTTTTCACTCCTGCCAGAGTGGAGTAATCTGAGGAGGCCAACTCTATCAATCTTAGGGTAGTCTGTTTTGAGTACTTTTCCTAGTCTGAAAATATTTGCACAGGAACAGACAGGCAAAGTCTGTTTATTAAGAAAAACAGAAGGGAGCCTGCAGAGATAGGGGCAGGCAGAGAGCGACATCTTATCAGAGAAGAGGTATACCAGATGGTTTCACTCATAGCAGGAGCATAAGGGAGCCGAAAAAAAAATTAAAGTAAAATGAACAGCAATTAACAACTTTAAACTAGAGACATTCTATGGGGAAGAGAGGAGGGGAGGGGAACAGGATCAAAACTGGGGCAGGAAGAGCACACAGAGCTATGGTGATGGCACATGGGTAAAGTGGTGGTGGGAAGTCCACAGGAATTACAACCGAGATTGAGAAAATACACAAAATGAAGAATGATGTAATAAATAAATAAATGATAATAATAATAATAATAAAAACCAAAGGGGTATTCTTATGTTGTATTCTTTGGGGTGGAGAGTTCCTTCCTTCGTGGGTTCATCTGCAAGGATTGGGGTTTCCTTGTAATGACAGACCTATACCCACCATCAGTCTTTGCTTACAGATCTCTCTTTTAATAACTCATTTAATCATTTCTGCCCCTACCTCTAGTCCTGGCCTTGTGAAGTTTACGTTCTAAACTTTCCACTCTAAGCTTCCATCTTGGTGCCTAGTCAAAAAGAAGAAATCCAAAAATGCCTTATCAGAACAAGGATTACACCTATTTCAGTTAGAAGGTTAGAGGAATTTAGCTTAATTTTATTGAACCTTTGCATCCTTTCAGTAACAGCCCTTAGTTCTAAACACCAAAAGTCAATATCCCATTTTATCTGGCTCCTCGACCCGTGGTGGACGATGAGGAACACCAGGTTCATATGTGGCTGCTTCACAAAGCAGGGTGGCTGTGCTCTGCTCAGTGTCAGAGCAGAGCAGGGTCTGACTGCTAGATCAGGTGGGGGGCCTGGCAGAGCATTCACAACTCTGATATGTGTGTGGATTATTTAAACCCTTTGTAATTTTTAGTTATCATAAACAGATAATATATTCTAATTCATATATTCCTTGTTCAATGTTTTGGAATCTGTCACCTGTTTTTACTGTTCAATTTCCCAAGGCATTCATGGAATAAATTTCTTGTCCTGTTAAATCTTTATACTATCTCTAGATGTTGACATAAAAAGTAAAGTCAGTCACAAAGTGTGGTGAAACTCTTTTGAGTCACCCAACTGGTTTTTCTGAGGACTTAGATTACCCAGGGTCATTATTGCTTCTCCCGCCTACTTGAACTTGATTCCAAATTTGTCTATTTCTTTAACTATAAAATCTGTGATAGCAGAGGGATCTGCTTTTACTCCAGGAGTGGTTATGAGATTCACAGCTTGACTCGATAGCCCTACCTCTCAGCATTTGAGGAACCCTAGAATATAAAAGGATAAAAAGTCTTTACTGCCAGACCATTTTGTAATAACTTTTTTTTCTGTTTCTGAATATTTGCAACTTACAAAAATGAGAAATATGACATATTAATGGAGTCTTTTTAGATTCCCTAACTTCATTAAGACTTAAAAGAGAGTGACTTTATAAATACCTAGAAAATGACTGCATTCAGACCTTAAAGACTATCATCTCCTTTGATCCTAAATTTCTATTCTAGTAGGTGCTGAGTATTTTCTGCTTGATTTGCCTTCAGGGCTGTTTAGTTGCTATAGTTTAGAAACACTGTACTTTTATTTTTCTGTATAATAGCCAGAGATTTGGTTATGGAAGTATTTATTGGGAGTAAAATATGGACTCAGGCAGGCGACTCCTTATTCTTGGTCATGTCATTTATATTGCTTCAAACTATTTCTTCTTTTTTAAACAGGACTTAAGGCAGTAAAAGAAGTCAACAGATTCACGTAGAAATCTGGTGCCCAGGCTTATCGGAGCATTTACACTACAGAGGTACTGATTCCTCGTAGGCAACAGGCTGCCAAAACTAGCAATTCTGCATCTTCTCCTCCCAGCATGGAAACAAGCAAAGCTGGGACAGTCAGGTATGTCATTCCATGTGCAACCTGGTTCTTTCCCTATTCAGGTGCTTGGACACTCTGCCTTTGTAAGATTGCTGCCGTAAACTAAAAGGAGCTACTCATAAAAGTTGTTTGGTAGTTATTTCCCATAGAACAAGTTTTTGACAATGGCACTATAATGTAAAATGGTATTGAACTGGTGGTGATTTTTGAAGTGAAATTATAATCCCGTAACTTGATTGAAGCACTCGTGTGGCTCAGGGGAGGTGATGATGAGGTTCAATTTACACACCCAAAGGGAGAAGAGAGTCATATACTTGATACGTTGATCTAAAATTTCTGCTTCCTACCATTTAGTGGCCCCTTTGTATACTGGTATTGAGAATGTGGGGGAAGAGTGAAGCATAAATGTAGCTTTTAAAAGGAACATGATTTTGGTTTGCATTTCTGATTTGGCTGGGTGGCCTTGGACAAGTGACTTAATGTCTTTGAGTCCTAGATTCTTCAAGAGTCAAGTAAATACATTTTACCTAGTGTATTATGTAAATAATGATGATGCTACCTATCTCCAAAAATCAGATTCCTGTGCCTGGCAGGTAGTTAAAACTGAATCAATGAGACATCCAGGCTTGGAGTAGAGAAGATGGGAGAAAAATTCTCAATCCTCATGGTTGCTGTCAGCAGAGTTATACCTCCTACAGGAAAACAGGGTGTGGGGGACAAGTGAGAGGGGTAAATGCAGGGAAACTTGTGGTTTTACAAGTTTGGAGATAGGCACAGCAAACAGAATCAGGTGCACCAGTAATGCCTTCTGAGTTATATGTGCTAAGGATGAATTTTTTAACCTAATGAGGATTAGTTCATTCTTATAGAGGAGTAGGAAGAAGCTTTTTCTTTGACAACTAGAGTTTTGAATTTATGTTTGTAGACTTTGGTCTCTGGATACTTCATCATCCTCTGTGTTTTCAGTCTGTAGTCATCTTGGAGCCTGAAAACAATTTAACCTTTCAAGGACAGTGAAATTTTTTTTCTAAAGATTTATTTATTTATGCATACAGAACTGGGAACAGGCCAGAGGTGCGGGAGAGGGGTGTTTTGAGAGGATTCACCAGAAACAGAGTAGAGAGCAGAACAGGCAGACTGATGAAGTACACTGCTGAGGGGAGCAGCAGGCAGGTCAGGAGAGGTCTGCCATGCCATGCGGGCCTGGCGGAGGATTAAACTCATGCCGCAGTGGCTGCAATAACTTCATAGTGCTGTGCTTTAGCCCACTGCATCACCAGGGAGGGCCAGACAGTGAGATTTTAAAGTTAGGCAGGAGTCATTACCTAAAGTTATATGCATTGGAGTGTAATCAGGATTCGAACCCAGGTCTCTTTATTTCCAGTCTTATTCATTATGTTGTAAGAATAGGTTAAATGATTTTGATGATCACTTTCAAGTCTAAAATTTTATATTTCTATGACTTAAACCAAAATGAAAAGGAGATAAAGGAAAGGTTAAGTTTAGGTAGAAGGCTTTGAACTGGAGGATTGGTTGCTCTAGAAAAGGCAGATTTTGTCTTTGATTCTTTCTCTCGGTAGAGAGAAGTTGTATGGAGGGAGAAAGGCAAGAATCTAAGGGAGGGTAGCTCTGCTAACTGTCCAGGCTGGCAGCAATGAGCACTACCCTGCTAAGCTCTACCTTCTCATGAGATCTTGGCCATGGGTCATTTTGCAGTATAGATATCATATCAGTTTGGGTTCTGAGGAACAACTGATAATGATACCACTCTAAATAAGTGAAAGGTAGTCCTGACCCCAAGGAAGATGGCTTTGCACCAAATCTAGTGGTCAAGGTTCTAACCTAAACTTGTACTAACAATTTTCTGATATTTTTTCTTAAAGAACTCTCCTACACTCAACTACTATAAATCCATAGATTTTGGGAAATATAAAATCTATACCTACATTTGTCATAACACTTTTTTTTTTTTGCTAAATTTAAATGAACTGAAGTTGGGCTTCTTGACTTTAAAAATATGAATTATTTTTTAATTCAAGTAATTATTTTAGACTCTTTAGTAGCTTCCAAAAAAATAAGATCCAGAAAAGTCACTGAGTAGTTTTTACCATACTGTAGTAGGTTCTACTGAAGGACTTAGCATTTTCAAAAAGAGATGACTACAGATTTCTCATTTAGAGCTGATGAGTAAAGTATTTTGAAAGCAGGGTTGGTTAGTGAAAACATAATTTCAAATGTGAATGTGCTCTGCAAATAAAAAAATAAATATGTATTTTAATCTTTAAATTATCAAATATTTATATAAATGCCCAAATTTAAGGGAAAATTTTTTTCAAAAAATTATCATTCCCATCAAAAAAATTTAACTTGCACTTAAGTTTATGTAAAGTATATCATAATATGCAAATATTCTCAATTATTTTATTATAAAAGCACATCCTATTTAGAGACTACATGTTAATCCAAGAAGATCTCAATCAGTGTTAGTTTATCAGAAATCAACTGACAAAACCACCACTTAAAAAAAAAGGCAGAACTAACATAGATTATGGTACGTTAGAGATTAGGATCGCTTTCTCCCTTAATAACAATAATAAAAAAAGGTAAGATACGGAAACAACCCAAATGTCCAAAAATAGGTGATTGGATCAAGAAGATGTGGTATATATTAACAATGGAGTACTATTCAGCAGTCTAAAAAAGAACTCATGTGATTTGCAGCAACATGGACGTAGCTAGAAGAGATTATGCTCAGTGAAATAAGCCAGAAGGAAAAAGAAAACCACGGAATGATTTCAATTATAGGAGGAATAAATGGGAACCAACAAGTGTCAGGAAAAATTTTTTTAAATAAACAACAAAATTAGCTGGCAATCATAAATCAGAGACATTCTTCAAGGGAGGGAGAGGAAAAGGGATCAACAGGGAGAGAAGAGCATAAAGGACTATGGTGACGGTGCATGGGTAATTGGTGGTAGGAATTTTATGGGGAATACACCAAAAAGGAGAAAGCATATAAGCATACATTACACAAAAATGAAAAAATGATGTAAAAAATATTTTTAAAAGGAAAAAAAAACTATAAAAATATTATTTGTTCAAAGGAAGAACAGAAATTCCCCTGATAAGGTACCAGGACTTTCCCAAGGAGAAAGTCCTTGAACTAAAGTTGGTGGCTCTGAGGGGAAGAAGTGGGAGGAAACAAAGGGGATCATGACGGGAAGAGCAGGTACCTCAGCTAGTCTAATGGACTGGGATTAGCCACCCAAGCTTGAGTGCCCAGGGCACTCAGGGGCACTACGAGCTTCCTGGAGGACCTTTTGCTTATGTGCAAACACAGAATCAACTAAGGACTTTGGGGACTCTGCAGCAAGTGTGCGTGAGGAAAGCCCTCCCAGAAGAGATCAAAGAAATGCCAGACTGAGCCAGACTGAGCTCCATTGAGGGCCTCAAAGCAGAGAGAAGGACTGGTGAGCTATCTCTCTAGTTCCTTGAGAAGTACACAGACAAGGAGGAAATAGTGTTCTCATATTGAATAAGCTAGAGTTTCTGCTAAAAGAGGTAATCAGGGACAAAGATGGACACTACAAAACGATCAAGGGAACAGCACAGGAAAATATATATGCACTTAATATATGTTAACATATATGTACTTAATACAGGAACATTGCATTCGGTTAACAGGCCTAAAAAAATGTATTGATAAAAATGAAATTATTATCAGAGACCTGAACACACCACTGTACATGAAGTCCTAGCTGAAGCAATTAGGCAAGAATTAGACAAGAGAAATCCAAATTGGAAAAGAGAAAGTTTAACTGCCATTATTTGCAGATGCTATATTAATATACATAAAGAAACCTAAACACTATTAGAAATACTAAGCAATGACTATAAGGTGTCATTACACAAAAATCAGTAGCATTTCTAAATGCAAACAATGCATCAGAGAAAGGGAAGTAAGGAAGACAATCCCATTTACAGTCACACCAAAAAAGAATGAAATACCTGGGAATGAACTAAATAAAGGATATGAAGGACCTGTAGGTTGGAAACTATAAGACTCCTTTAAAGGGGTGAAGGCATAATAAGATGGAAAACTATCCTGAGCTCAATGACCAGAAGAATAAACATCACTAAAGTGATTTTTTAAAAAGGCAAAACAGGTCCTCCCTGCTGGCGCAGCGGGTTAAAGCACTGCACTTAAGCCACTTCTGCATGAGTTTAAACCCCACCTGCTCCGGAAGTGACCACATGGTGTGGCAGACCTCCCCTGACCGCCCACTGCTGCCCTCAGCAGTGTACTTTGTCCAACTGCCTGTTCTGCTCCTCACTCTGTCTCTGGTGAATCCTCTCACCCTCCACATCTCTGGCCTATACCCCAGTTCTGTATGAATAAATAAATAAAAATCTTAAAAAAAAAAGGCAAAACAGATTTTGTTTTTAGGAAATGTTTGAATTGTGGTGAACATAAACATTTACATATAGTATAAATTTTTTTTAAAAAAAGAAATTATCCTAATACTAGTAAATGGATATTTGGATCTTGGGATAAATGTTTCAGTGACATTATACTTAGAAGGGAATGAAAACTCTGGAAAATTTGTAGATGATGTAAAAAGTGGCTCTAGTGATCATGAAGATCAAACTGCCCATAAACTGTTTAGATAAAACTTCTCCCTAAATTGTGAAAAAGACAACTTCTAAATTAACATTTATATCACTTTAAATGTGCATTTGAAATATACTTGTTATATTTCATATATAGATACTTGAATATTTCATCTACATTTCCCAAAAGTTTATATATTTAAATTGTCAACAAAAAACGCATACTTTTTTCATCTGGGAAGATGGACAATCACTTTATAGTTGGGCATATTCTCCTTGTAATTGACATTTCCATTAAAACAGAACTAATCCAGCTTGGACAAGTTACTTAATATGTATAATGTTAAATATATTTGAATTTTCTCTCTAGGAATGAAAGAGTTGTGAACTGCTTATACCAAAACCCTGACGCACTGTTTAGACTGATTTGCTTTCCTTGGGCAGGTGGCGGCTCAATTTATTTTGCCAAATGGGGGCATAAAATGAACAATTTTGTGGAAGGTATGTTCACTTTCATCACCATCTAACCAACATAGACGGTCAGATTTCATGCACCTATAAGACTTTGAAGCATGGTAAAAAGTTTTTTTATGTTGATAGTCAATCAGTAATAACATATTCAAGAATGTTCTTCAATGAAGTAATTTTTATAATTTTAAAGTAAGAATTTCTGTTACATTTATTTTCTATTACTATTATACTTAGAAAAAATTGTGTATATTGAACCATTATTTCTTTCCCAGGATAGTTCCTTTTTGGTAATGAAGCCTGATCCTTTCAATATGCTATTCAATTTCACATAAAGTCTAAATACCTTACAAAAGCAAAGTTCCATTCCCCTTATCCTTTTGCTACTGTTAACCCTACATTTTACTTCTAAGTCAATATTTACTGTTTTGTTTTAAGGAGATACATTATATCTTTAACACTTTCAAAGAGTAAAATGGGTCAGAACCAGTATATTCCCATAAATTGCTAAAATGACTAACACAAAGATAACAAGGAGAGGCCTTTTAGAAAACAGGAGTTGTTCCTTTAGCCATATGCACGCAAACCTACAGAAGGGTGGTATGTGACATGAAGGCAATGGGCATGTTCACAAAGAAATGCTCCATATGCGTGACCAGAGCTGGAAGAGTTAAATTGCTTACCCAGCTTTCAGATGGCATTATTTTAAACAAACGAGGCAAGATTCTTGCCAAGAGAAGTAATGTTCATATTGAGCATATAAAGTACTCTAACTGCCAAAGAGCTTCGTATGTTTTCTATTTCTTTGAGTTTCTTTATCACGACAGTTTTGAGCTCTGTATCTTATGGAAGTAAAGATGTCTGTGTTTGGCTTCTGGAGAGCTCTCTGTCTATCTGCCTCTCTCTTGTATTCCCTTGAGGACTCAATGTGCCATCTGTGGTATTTTTCCATCTCCCCATTATTATCTTTTTAAAGGTTTCTACTTAAGTGTCTTGGGGTGGGGGGGCATAGATTCCCTTTTCCAGCAGATGGTGCTGTATGTTAGGGAAAACTAATCTAGGGGTCGGAGATGGGCCTGGAGGAGTTAACTAGTGAACATTGTGGAGGGGGAGGTCCTGGAGACTGAGGGAGTGGGGAGACTGCGTTTGCCTGTGGTACCACTGATAGCCCTCTTCTCTGGCTTCAGACATGAGTCTACAGTCTGTGGACACAGCTGTCAGTACAGTTTTGCACTGTGTTTACTGAGACATTGCCCAGTAAAGTTTCACAGTGTACACTGGAGCCTCAAGGGAGGTGAGAGGCAGGGGGTGTGGTGTCATGTCTTTATTTTCTTTATTAGTTAACCTGGTTCACCCAGTTCACCCCAACATGCATCTCCCCACACGGACTAGGTCCAATTAAGCAGCTTGGCCCTTCTCACTACTATCTTATGTGAACACAACTATCAAACATGGATTCTGCGCAGGCTGGCCAGGGCCTCTCCCCAACACCTTGTTGTTTGGAGCTGAATTTTCTCTGTTCCATCCCTTGTTATGGGATCCTCTGAGTTCAGTGTCTGGACTTCTTAGGTTATTCTCCTAGGACCAAATAAGGATCTTCCTCTGATGCCACCTCCACCCCCCCCTTCTTCCTCCCTGCCCCCATCCCACCAGTCCCATTATTTATGGGTTTTTCCTGTGAGTTTCTTCTTAGTATCTCTTGCCCGCTTTTCCATATTTTTTTATTGACAGGTACACCAATTTGTATTTGTACATGCCAGACTTTTTGTAGATTTTATGGTTAAAACTGTCTTTCTCAGTTCTTTCTTTATGTGTTGCCTTTTGAGTTAAAAAAGTATAAAATTTTAATGTAGTTCAGTTTATCACTCTTAAAGTTTGTACTTTTAAATGACTTGTTTTGAGAAGTATCCCCTACCCAAGTCACAAGGTTATTATTTTCAACAATTCTTAAGCATTTTTCCATATGCAAGTCAGAACCGACTTTTATATAAGGGGTGAGCTAAATAGCCAATTTTCTAAAAATGATCTATAAATTCACCAAATTGACTTAGTACATTTATTTAAAGGTCTATACTTTCTCTGACTTTAAATGTCTGTTCAGTTATAAACTGAGTTTCCACTTATGTCCAATCTTATTTTTGGTATCTTTCTTCTGTTCCATGGTCTTTCTGCCCCACCACACCAATATCACACTATTTTCATTATGAAAACAGGGCAGACTTGAGGTAATTAGAATTCCTCCTCAGTGCCTTCAAGGAAAAAGGACTGGGAGTCCCTGACTAGAAATGTTTGGGTTAATTTCTAAATTCTCTGTTCTACTTCACTAGTGTATATGTTTGTTTTGACTCTAATAGTACATTGTCTTGAGTACTGTAGCTTTAGTAAGTCCTTCAATTTTGTTCTTCTTAAATATTGTTTTGGCTGTTTTAAGTTCTTTATGTTTCTGTATAAATGTTAGAGTAAGGCTTTCAAGTTCTACCAAAGGAAAAAAGCCTGCAGAGATTTGCTTTGGGATTGCAATGACTGTACTGACATCTTAACATCTTGGAATCTTCTAACCCATTAGCATAAACATGATATAATTTCTTCAGTTTTTAAGGTATTCATTAGTTTCAGCAATATCTTGCAGTGTTCAGAGTATGGGTTAAGCACATATTTTATTCACTTTGCTGTTGCATTGTAAAATCTAAATTTCCAATTGTTTTTTTGCTGAAATATAGAAGTACTGGTTTTGACTTCTTGAATATCAGCAGTAGTGCATGGATATATGTTATATTATTTTGTGCATTCTTTCAGAGGCATTATATAATAATTTTTAGAAAAAAATACTAGTCTTGTATATTGATTCTGTGATATGCAGCCTTGCCAAAATCACTTATAATTTTATTAATTTTTATACAGATCGCTTGGGATTTTCTATAGAGATGATCATACCTTATGCAATTAAAGTTTTATTTCTTCTTTTTTGATCTGTACTTCTTGTATAACAGTTAACAGAAAATTTGACAGGATATCCTGGCTTTGTTCCCCAAATGAGGGGGAAACACTGCATCACTCATCTCTAAATATGAATGATTTAAAAATATTAATCTTTAAATATGATGTTAGTTGCATGATTCTTATAGACATCCATAGGTTGAAGAAGTTCCCTTCTATTAATAGTTTGCTAAGAGTTTTTACTATAAATGGGTAGTAGTGAATTTGGTCAAATGCTTTCTCTGCATCTATCCTAGATAAATTCAATTGTTCATGCTGTACTATCCATTTTCTATTGCTCGTATTGACTTGCTAATATTTTGTTCAAGGTTAGTAAGTCTAGGTTCATGAATGATACTGGATTCTGACTTTCTTTTGGAATGGTTTTGTCTTGTTGGATACCTTGGTAGTGATGGATTCAAAAGGGAAGTGTTGGAAACATTGGCCAGGAAAGGCATTTGAATTTTTAGTTTTCTTAGTGCAAAAGTTTTATCTATAAATTCAGTATAATTAATAGGGTTATTCAGATAACATTGCCTTTAAAATAATTAATACATTTATTTTAGTTTGAGTTTATATTTAAAGAATAATTGAGCAGATAATAGAGATCCCATATATCTACCCCTGTAGTGTTCCCTCTTGTATTAGTGTGGTATGAATATTATAATTAATAAATCAGAATTGATACATTATTAACTATCTGACATAATTTACAATAAGGTTCACATTCTTTGTGTTGCTTAGTTGTATGAATCTCTGTTAACTGCAAAAAGACATGAATCCACTATCACAACTTGATGCACAATTGAATAGTTACTCTAAAAGCCCCCTGTGCTTTATCTAGTCATTCCTTCACTCTGTCCATAGCACCTTTCTACTGTCTATAGTTTTGCATCTTCCAGAATGTCATATATTTAAAATCACACAGAATGTCATATCGCTGAAATCATATCTATGCACATACATAAATATGACTTCTACTTAGCAACACACAATGTTTCTCCTTTATTTTTCAATCTTTTAATGCCTTTCTTTTCATTGCTCAATGTTTCATTCTATAAATACACCAGTTTGTTTAATTGTTCACTCAAGGAGGTCTTGATTACTTCTAATTTAGGGGTGATATAATTAAAAACGCTATAAACAGTGATGTGAAAGTTTTTGTTTGGCATTGGGGGCTTCAGTTTTCAACTCATTTGCGTAAATATCAAGAAGCACAACTGCTGGGTTGTACAGTCAGTAAATTATTAGTTTTAAAACAAGCTGCCAAAATGACTGCATATTGCATTTTCACCACCAGTGTGGATTCCTGTTGCTCTGCATGGGGGCCAACATTTGATTATGCTAACATTGCTAACATGCCATCTTCTTTGGTGCAGGTTTGCTCAGATCTTTTGCCCATGTTAGTTTTCTTATTAGTGAGCTTTAAGAGTTTTTTGAATATTTTCAGATGTGTTTTCCAATATTTACTATCATAGGTAGCTTTTTGATTCATTCTCTTAAAAGGCTCTGCAGCAAAACAGATGTTTTTAAATATTAATAAAATCAACTTATTAATTTTCTCTCAAAAATGTATGAACTCATTGCAAAAAACAATGTTACATAAATTTTGCCCATGGTAACTTCTTGAAGTGTTAAGGTGTTATAATTGTGGTCAATTTTGTGTCAGTTTTTGTGAAAGGTATAAGGACTGGGTCAAGATTTATTTTTTTGAATATAGATGGTAATCATTTTTTAATCAGCAAATTCTAAACTTTCATTTCACTAGATTTGACCATTATCATTTTTGTTTGAAATTGTTTACATGTTAATATATACACTCTTTTTCATTGCCATATTTTACTGTGTACACACTTTAACTTGTGGTTCTCACTCTTCAGTGCATTCCATAAGACTTGCAGGAAGAGAAACTCGAGCTGAAGAACCTTTTACAAGTGACATGCAACAGGTAGTTGATGAAATTGTGTGTGCTTTGCTGCCAATTCTCCAGGATAAACCATTTGCATTTTTTGGCCACAGGTATTTAAAATCTATTTTTAAAGATATCTGAGGATGTTTTTTTAATTGTGAAACAGTGGTTATTGCTGTCCTTTTAATTTTATGAGTTGCATACTTTTGTACTGGGTACATGACTTCATCACTGCTTGAAGGGATGATGGACTCAATACAGTGACAGTCATTCTCAAAGTAGAAAGCCAGACAGAAAGAAATTGCTCAATCGGGACCGTAGACCCACAGCTGCCAGGTGATGTGATTAACTGAAACTTTGCTTGAAGGAGCATGAAAATCCTGGGCTTCTCTTTAGAAAACAGGCTCAACCTGATGGGTAGTTATGACCAGCACACTCTTACAACTGGCCGATTCAGATAGTAATTACACTATTTTTCCTTCTGGTCAGAACTCTAGTAGCAATTTATGTTCCATTTTATTTTTAAAATTAAATAAACTTTGAGGTTACATCACAAAGCCTGGATTTCTGACTATTTGTTACTTAGTATGCACAATCCTCAGGTTTCTGAATTGAGTTTGTCCTCTAATAGCCCCTACTAGTGAGGACTAAATGAATAGTGATCATAAAATGACTGGTGTATTGTCTAGAATACATTTTGCTTACTAACATTTAATACCTGTCAAACAAAAAATGAAAAACAAAAAGCATCCATCATCTATTACCCAAATAATAGCACTTCAAAGTTTTGATGTGGTCCCACAGCATGGGGACATCTCTTATACTTTTAAGTATATGCCACATCAAGACTTGTCTTATTGATCTTCTTTTGCATACTTGAGTTTTTTCTATCATTTTCTGTTATAAACAACACTTCAACGAACATTCTTATAGAAAAATCAGGATACATCACTTAGAAATTTCTTAGGGACCCTCCTTGGTGGTACAAGGGGTTAAAGCACAGTACTATTAAGTTATTCACAGCCACTGTACCCTTAGTCCAATCCCTGATCCCCAGCCAGGGAGGTGACTCACAGACCTCTCCTGACCCGCCCACTGCTCCCCTCCGCAGTGTATTTCAGTCAGTCTGTTTGTTCTGTTCTCCACTGTCTCTGACTAATCCTCTCACCTTCCACACTTCTAACCTATACCCCAGTTCTGCATGCATACATAAATAAATCTTTTTAAAAAGGAAATATATTAGGCTAAATTCTCAAAATTTAAGCTAAATGATAGGCACATTGTTAAAGTTCTTGATATATATTTTCAAATTACTCACAATTTAGGTTCCATCAGCAGTGAATAAGGAAATAAGTTTCCCTTTTCCCACCTCAAATATATAATGCACATTTTCCAAATGTTCAGTATTTGAAAGTATTACCTATAAAGTTGGACTACATAATGTCTATCAAAATGGCAGCTCCATTTTATACTTTCAAAAAGCACTGAAAACCTCAAAGAGTTACTTTTATATATTTTGCACTTATGCAAAATATTTACATATTCAAAAGCTAGGAAATTTTAAATATATTTAACTTAGCTTAAAATAACATTATTAACACAATTATATATTGACATAAACATTCATTTTTATGTAAACGATTACTTAAAAAAATAAGAGTGGCATTGTTTTTAAATCTTTGGAAATCTTTTAAATGAACGCATTAATAGAAAGTAGCTAAATTCTCATTTCTGCTTCTGTAGTCAAACTGTTATAATATGCCATGTCTAGCAGCTTCTGGAAAGCTCAACTACACATACACTCATAAGACAATAAAAAGTCAGACAAAACCTAGTATTACCCTGGAAGTTACTTGAACTTCATGGACCACCTGAAAGTGTCTCAGGAATTCTTGAATGTCCCTAGACCACACTTGGAGAACTACTGATACTTACTATCAAAGACCAAGTGATATGAAATCTATAAGGGAGAAAGGGCAGTTAAATTAAATTCAAGACACTAGAAATCAGTACTGTATCTTAGACTGAATTACCTATGATGCTTTGAATCTTTTCATGTTGATATATATCATTGAAAATACACCTTTTGGGCCCTCCCCGGTGCTGCAAGGGGTTAAAGCACAGCACTGTGGAACTGTCAGCAGCCACTGCAGTGTGGGTTCAAACCCCAGCCAGGGAGGTGATCCACGTGGCACAGCAGACCTCTCCTGTCTTGCCCGCTGCTCCCCTCAGCAGTGTATTTCAGTCAATCCACCTGTCCTGCTCCCCGCTCTGTCTCTGACAAACCCTCTCACCTCCGCCCCTGCACTTCTGACCTATACCCCAGTTCTTGTATGCATAAATAAGTATATCTTAAAAAAAAGAAAATGTACCTTTTACAAATAAATTAGAGTATTATTCAACCTCTGTTTTTCTTTTAATGACTTCATGACCATTCCTGTACTATGATACTAGTTCTTATCAACTTTTGATGGTGTAACAAGTTTTGTTGAACTCATTTTTTTTTTCTTTCCCAAATTCAGTCTGGGAGCCCTCATTGCTTTTAAGACTGCATTACACCTGAAAGAAAAATACAAGCAAGAACCAGTACATATCTTTGTCTCAAGTATAACTCCTCCTCATGTAAGTCATTTCACTCTCCTTAGGGAGGGGTAGAGAAGAGGAAAGAAAAGGAATACATGTAGGGTGGTAGGTCAAGTTCTTATTTTCCCATTTGGTAAAAATGTAGAAACACTATTGGCTAGTGAAACGTTCCTCAAATCTCTTTCAATGTAATTGCCTCTTCTTTCCTCTGAAATGCTCTTTAACATTCCCTGGTCAGTTCCCACACAGTCCCTGCCAGCTGAGCTGCAGTAAAAGCAAAAGACTTTTTCTTTTATTGAGTCTGCTGAAAAACGTAATCAACTCTTAGCTAATCCACTGGACTAGAACTAGGAAAGGATCCTTGAAATCCCCAAAAGGATCAATGATACCAACATGTTAGACCCACCCTATCTTTTAAAGCTGGGTCTGCTTTTCCTGCTCCTTGCCTCCCTTCCCGTTTATCTTCCTTCCCTGTTTTGAGATAGCCCCTGATGGACTGGGATTCCAAAACTAGAGGCCCATTTCACTGGTATTATGACAACAGAATTATGATTGACTTTTCTCCCCGCTTTTAAATAGAAATACGTCCTTCTGAAACTGTAGATTAAAGAAGCTCACTTTAGAAACTTGATTTAATGATTAAGTAGCTTTTACTTTATGAATAAGCATTATATGAAATAATTTTTCAAGCTAAAGGCCCAATATCATAAGGCTGGAGAGGAAGAATTAACAGAAGAACAAATACTCCAATATATTAAAGATTTTGGAGGCACATCCAAAAATATCATTGAAGACAAGGAACTTTCCAAACAGTATATTACCAAAGTGATGGCAGATGCAAACTTGTTTAATAATTTCAAGTAAGTAACTGAGGCAAGTGGTTTGCTTTTTAATAATTATCTATAGAAAATGTAGTTTGGCAGTTCTCTGAAGCTGTTTATACAGGAAATTGACATTGTAAGAGTTTGGTTCCAGTTATTTTGGGGCTATTTGTGCTATTTTTATTGGCTTTGAAAGGAGAGAGGGCACAGAAATGGTTATCAATGAAGTATGAGTAGAGCATATTTTTCTTAAAAATAAACAGTTCAATATGCATGCTTTATCATGCTTTGTGAGTAAATTAGTACTGAAACACTGTCATTTTCTTAGAGGGGTCTTCAAAAGCAGATCTCTACTTTTTGAGGGTGGTGGTGCGCCAGGGAGCAGGAATGCTTTGCTTGTATGTGAATTTTGTCCAGGAGCTCATCTGGCTCCATGTCACCTGTCCATTCTTTTGTCTACTGAGATATTTGTAGTGATGCTTGATTGAGTCTGTTTAGGCTTCCTAGACCTGATTCCATGATGGGGACAGCAGGGAGAGAGGCCTTTCTACACCAACTAGTGATTCTGGAACACCAGTAGGGTATCCAAGAATGCAACTCAGTTCTGACACTACCTGGAGAAAGCACCAGACTCCATAGCCTCAGGACTCAGTCTCCTGTACAAACCCAGGCTGTTCCCTGTGCTTCGGATCAAACTACTATAGATCAGCCATTCCCATGGCCCCTTCTCCTCATGTTCAATTCATTTGCTAAAATGGTTCACAGAACTCAGGAAACCTATTTATTACCAAGGCCACTGGTTTATTATAAGAAATATTATTCAGGAACAGCCATATGGGAGCCATGCATGGGGCACACTATGGGGGAAAGGGAGAGCACCCACATTCTCTATTAGCGCTAAGCCCCAAGCCCCATGGTATTCAACAATCTAGAAGCATTCCATAATCTCTCCTTTTTAGATTTTGTGGAGGCTTCATTACATAGGCATGACAGACTGTTTAAATCATGGGCATTGGCAACTGAACTCAATCTCAAGTCAGTTTCCCCACCAGAGGTCTATGGATGCGACACCAAATTCTAACCATTCTAATTAAAATTTGGTTCTGCTGGCAACCAGTCCTTATCCTGAAATGCTTCCCAAAAAGTCAGAAACTCTAGCTGAAGATCAAATATGTGTAAGAAACACATCTTTTAATCACCTGAAAGATCAAATATGTATTTTTTTTATAAATCACAAAGTCCTGCGAAGCCTCCCTGCTATTCTAAACTTATAACTGACTCTTCCTACTCTAGCAGCCTCTGAGCAGTTATTGTGGGAAAGGATTTGGTGTTAATCACCGTTATAATCTGTCATGCATTATCCAGGCTGTGTGTCTGTGCAAGCTCCTTGAAGCCAGATGCTTGAGCTTATGCTTCCTCTATTTGCCCCACAAAGCCTTGAGTAGGGCAAAGGGGCGCCCAGGGCAGTGCCTTTGACTAAACATTTTACACAAATAGCTACAAAAAGTGGGTTGGACTTCAAGCATTCAACCCTACTCATGTTTTACACGTAATATCTATCCACTCCTATCTATTCCTAAGTCCACAGTTTCCTAGGTGCCCCAAACACCTAGCCACATGTCTCTATTGTGATCTTTACTAATTTTGCCCAAATGTTATTCTTACAGGTTTAGGCTCTCTGTGTTCCTGGCTTAGCACATAATTAAACATCTCCCCCTAAATTGAAAAATAATCTAGATGATTGAATACTCACTAAAGTAACTATGCAAATGGTGGTTATTAGTAGTAAAATTTTACATAACAGTCCAACACGGTGTCTGCACCATCTGCTTCCCAGGATCAACACCCTCTCTACCTCTGCCTTATTGTCTGTGAGGCTGAGGGCAAGTTTCAGCAACAGCCTTGTCTCAGGCCCTCCCTGGTGGCGCAGTTGCTTCGGTGCGAGCTTGATCCCTGCCTGCCCCAGAGGTGACCACATGGCAAGGCAGACCTCTCCTGACCTGCCCACTGCTCCCCTCAGAAGTGTACTTCCTCCATCTGCCTGTTCTGCTCCCCACTCTGTCTCTGGCGAATCCTCCCACTGCCCCTGCAACCCTGGCCTGTACCCCAGTTCTGTATGCGCAAATAAATCTTTAAAAAAAGTATTATCAGAGGAAGAGATAATACTCTTTACAGGTGTTACAGTGAGGGCTAAATGAGGTCAAATTTAGGAGCCTCTGGCACATAACAAACCACAAGCAATTTTAAAAAACAGCTCACTTCCAAAGGTTCTTGATGTGACTTTGTTAAAATGTGTTACGTTCCAGCGTGTCCATCGGTGAGCCACGGTTCAACGAAAGACCACAAGAGAAATCGAATTAGGAAGCTCATTACTCACAGTCCGGGGGAGGTCCGCACACCGTGGGGGCACGCATCTTGTGGGGTAGTCACGCAGCGCGAGCCTCGGGACCTGGGGTCCCTGCGGTAGTTACTACGGTCCTCAGGCGGGCGAGAGAACTTGTTATGGGGACTCAACGCCGAGAGTGAGTCCATTGCACTCTAGGGAAAAAAATTCGCCGGAGAGCGCTAGCTGTAGGTGAAAGAGGCAAGGCTTTGTTTGGAGCGACTCAGGCATAAGGGACAGTTTCGGAAAAGAGAATAGAAGCCGCTCCCGGCTCTCTGACGCGCTTTAGGAAGACGCGAGTTGAGTAACCCAGGAGGCCGGGAGGTGATCCGCCTTCGGGGTTGGGCGACCCTGCGCACGCGCGGACAGGTTACGCTCCAGCGGCTCTGTGGGCTCTCGGCGGTTCCTCCTCCAAGAAATCACGTCAGGGTCTCATTAATGCTTTTTATCTATTACGGCGTCTCATATTTGTTTGTGCTCTGTTCCATCTTTTCTTCTGCCTCAATGCCTTTGCCGTCACGTGATTTCCTGTTCACCCAGTCAGATAGGGTCCTCCATGCCCACTGGGGACCTTGTTTGATCCCCACCCCACTCCCACCTGTAAGGTGTTTACAGATCACCCTGAACCAGTAGCACTTAAGTATCTCTCTGGTGGCCTGATTATTTCATTAATATCGGTTTCCCTAGTCAGTATCTGAGCTGTGAGAGGAAGGGCGATGTTGGTTTATTCACGTGTCCCTGGTCCCTGGTGTCTATCACAGTCCCTAGCACCTAGTTCAACAGAAGTCTGTTGGTAAACTGAGAATAGTTGAATCAACTCAAGGGTCCTACTTAAATGAACCTGCTTTGATCCTGTTCAAGGCAACCCTCTACCAAACTACAGACAGCCAGAAAATAGAGAGGTAGCTGATTTGGGGAACGACAGAGGCATCCAGAGTTAAGACTAGATGCCCAAGAGTTATCCTGTTGCACCCTGTACTGGTCTAGAAGAAATGGTAGTGACTGTTAAAGGAGAAGCATCCTTATGAAACACACATTATTGAAATAGCAATGGGGAAAGAAGTGAGAGCATCCCATGTTTCATTTAAGTGATGTTGTTGACAGGAAAAGATTCTGTAATGCACATTATGAGAAATGATTAAGCAGCCCTTTTATTTTTACAGCTTTGATGCTCCCCCTGAGGCTGTCCTATCTTGCGATTTAACATGCTTTACTGGATCTGAAGATATAGCAAAGGATATCAAAGGTGAAATTATTATGTTAGTTTTGGGTATTTTATTGAAATGCTTGATGTTTTTCAGTCAATGTCAACTAGCAATTATAAAAATGAGTAGACTATCATCCCGACTTCTATTTAGTGCAAATGGAGAGTATGTGGGTCATGTGTAAAATATGAGAAGGCAGACAATAGCTCTGGATAGGGATAGGCCTTAGAGAAATAAAAAATTCATGACCCATAGAACATGAGACCTTGGAAGTAGCCCTGTTTCTGATAGCAGATTGTATAGATGACATCTGGAAGTGAGTCTTTTGTTGGTGGTGCTATCATTTGTTATTAAATATAATTATTTTTATTTTTAGCATGGAAAGATGTAACAAGTGGAAGTTTTAATAGTCATGTGCTTCCAGGAAATCACTTCTATCTTATGGAACCTGCCAATGAGACCTTCATCAAGAATTACATAATCCAGTGTTTAGAACTATGGATGCTTGCCTATTCTTAGATATTGTTTCCTTATTAAAATAACCAGTGATTGGCCCTCCCTGGTGGTGCAGCGGGTTGAGGCACAGCACTGAGAGTCTAAAGCCACTTCCGCATGAGTTCGATTCCCGCCTGCCCCGGAGGTGACCACATGGTGGGGCAGACCTCTCCTGGCCCGCCTGCTGCTCCCCTCAGCAGTGTACTTCCATGATCTGCCTGTTCTGCTCCCTACTCCGTCTCTGGTGAATCCTCTCACCCTCCGCAACTCTGGCCTGTACCCCAGTTCTGTATGAATAAATGAATAGATCTTTAAAAAAAAATAAATAACCAGTGATTATTTGATACTGTGCATAATTTTTCACAAGGTTTTATTCAAAGATTGAAAAGTCATACATTTTCTGTTGTCAGGGTGATTTGTTTCAAATAAGTATATTTCTCTACCATTTATGGATCTGGGGACAAAACACAAATGGGCAAAGGTTATTTGTGGTGGGGCCTTTTATCTTCATATTACAATCTCATTTGAGTTTCATCTGTGGGAAGTTTGTTCTTGAATATCTGCTTATCTTTTTCCTTAAGTCATTCTAATAGAGAAAATGGTAAGACAAGGGAGGGGCTTAACAATATTGTTTAGTCTTAAACCATATTTTTTGTGACTTAAAGCTTGATCTAATCTTTTGAAATGCAGGGCCATTCTCTTAGAAAGAAAATGTGGCCTACTGCTCTGTTCAAATAAGGTAGTCCTGAGCCTTTGCTGTAGTCTGTGCAAAAGAATGCCTGAGAGCTCAGGCTCTCCTCTAGGATCCCCGTTTCAGCATGTTACTGACCAGTCTGCAGCTTGGCCCTGGCCAGGCATACACATTACGCCTGACAGATTGCCTTGGATTCCTTCTGATACAGTATGATAAGGAAAAAACAGAATTGCTGGAAAACACACAAGAACTAAAAGCAGGAATTAGGAAGAGTTGAGTCAAAGTAATGAAGAACATTACAAATAGGTTTCACAGAGCCTGTTGATGGGAATGAAGAGGCACCATGTCCTGGGGGTTTTTGTGGATCCTGCATTTCATGTAATTCCCAAGCTGCATTTGTCTCTTGAAATCCTAGGGTCTCAATCACTGATTTTCTTGTTTCCTATGGGACTTCACAATAAATTCTATGACTTGATGTAACTGGTGTCTCCTTCTGCTTAAATTATTTAACAGAGTTTTATATAGTAAATTTTAAAGCATTTCTATGTTGTGACCAAATAATATGGGTTCATCTTTTCATTAAAATACTAAAATCATATATACAGAGTCTTTAAAATAATATTAAAGGAGATGTGTACAGGAGGTATTCTTCAGAATTTATTACTCCTTTTGAAGCAAGTTTAAATAATATATATTCATTACTAGGAAGAGCTTTGGCTTAGAATTTACATGCATTTGGGCTAAAAGTAGCTTCAAGCAAATTAAGGTTAAATGTTTTAGTCTTTGGTTTGATATAATTTCCAGGATTCCCTTATAGAAGGATTGGTACAAAAGTAATCTTGAATCATTATTATTCATTTGAACCATTTTTAGTTAATAATCTGCTAATGGGACCATCATGGTATAGCCACAACCAGGCTTTTGGAAGGGCTTTCTCACCTGCCCCTCCCTGTGAGAACAGCTCAGTTTTCAAGCCCTGTGCTGGTAGAGACCAAAACTATCACTTAATGTTAAGACCTTTTGTTTTGTTGAATCTGCACGTTAATCTCATTGTGGAAGATTTCTGAAAAGCTTTTGGCAAATCTTAGTAGAGATGAGAATCATTTTCATTTTATAAAGCTTTCCAGAGTAGAAAACAAGCTAGATAAATTTTAACTAAACATTTTAAGATATTTGTACATTCACATGTAGTTATAAGAATAATACAGAGCTACAGAGCTACAGAGCTTCCCTTAATTGTAACATGCAAAACACTGATCCAGTCAAGATACTGAACACCTCCCCGCAAGGGAGCCTCCTGATGCCTTTAGAGTCACTACCCACTACCCACTGCCATCCCGGCAATCATTACTCTTGTCCACTACATCTATACTTTAGCTATTTCAAGAATATTACAAAAATGGGGCCATACAGTATGTAAACTTGTTTCACTCCACGTAATTCCCTGAAAATCCATCTTATCAATATAGATTTTCATAAACAGTCACTCAAATCAATTCATCCTTTGTTCAAACCAAGCCAGACCTAAACCCTTAGTTAGAGATAGAATCATGCTGTTTTGTTTTTAATTTTATCCTGTGAGATTCAAACAAATTTTAGAAATGTTAAAATGAGACTATTTTTCATCAGAGTGTCTCTGTACTGGCAAAAATGATTGAGAACTGGGCCAATCTGATACTCAAGATTCTACTGTTACCTCTTATTAAACTAAATATAAGAGGTAGAGTATTTGTGTTGTTTATTACTAGATATATTTCTGTTTGATTTTTCTTGATTTGCCTTAAATGTCAAAATTTAAAGAAAAATAATTGACATTTCTCTGGTGGCTTTTTTTTTCTCTGAAGAGCTATAGACAGACACATAAATTAATTTTTTTTTTTAATTTGGGGACTTTTTGTTGCTATATTTTATATAGCTTTTGCTTTAAAATGAAAGGACAATAATTAGGGCATCTCATTAAATTTTCACAATCTTGGCCCTCCCTGGTGGTGCAACAAGTTAAAGTGCAGCATTATGAAGCTAGCTGTAGCCGCTTCTGCATAAGTTTGATCTCCAGCCAGGGAGGTGACCCAAATGGTGCAGCAGACTTCTCTTATCTTGCCTTCTGCTCCCCTCAGCAGTGTACTTCATCAATCTGCCTATTCTGCTTCCCACTCTGTCTCTGGTGAATCCTCTCACCTCCCTCCCACATCTGGCCTGTACCCCATGAATAAGTAACTCTTTTTAAAAAATTCTGACAATCTTATAAGGGTAATATCTTCCCCCCACTCTACAGATGAAGGTGATCAATGTTCAGTAACTTTGCCTAAGGTCACCTAATAAATAAATCATAGAGTATTAGAACCCGGGAGTCTGTGATTCCCAAGGCCCTCCATCAGTATAAATCCAAAGCTACACAGTGCAATAAAGTCTTTCTATTGCTTCTTAGTGAACTTTTTTGATTACACCAGTAATACTGACTCACTAGAGAAAAGCAGATAAGCCCATAGAACAAGCCATTGTTAATATTTTTGCGCTTATATTACCAGAGTAATATTTTTTTTCAAAATAGTGTGTGTATTTCTAATTAAGTTGTTGCGATTTTTTTTTTTAAAGATTTATTTATTCGTACAGAACTGGGGTACAGGCCAGAGATGCGGAGGGTGAGAGGATTCACCAGAGACAGAGCCGGGAGCAGAACAGGCAGATCAACGAAATACACTGCTGAAGGGAGCAGCGGGCGGGCCAGGAGAGGTCTGCCTCGCCATGTGGTCGCCTCCGGGGCAGGCGGGGATTGAACCCATGCGGAAGTGGCTCCAGCCTCTCAGTGCAGTGCTCTAACCCGCTGTGCCACCAGGGAGGGCCCCAGAGTAATATTTTTTAAAGAACATTTAACATCACGTGGTTTAAGTAAGTAAAATATCATTAAATAGGTAGCATCAGCATGTTTCTAATTAAAGATTATAATTCATGTGAACAGCAAAAGCACTCATGATATGTGAAGAGTTAAAAATGCATTTCTCCCCTAAATGTTAGGTCATGACACCATTACCAAGGCATCCAAAGGAAAACTTTTCTTATATTCTGAATTCTAAATTCCATATTTTTCTATCAGTTCTTTTGCTTTAGAAATGTAGGCACTCATGGCATCTTCTTTTGACAGCCCTAGAAAGATAAAAACAGATTATCTTACTGGCTGATGTGTTGGAAAATTAAGAAAGTTTGTTTAAGAATTAAAAACCTTTTTTGAGGTTCCATGCTTCCCATTTAGCTTTTCCTTTTAGATCCAACAGGACTGGACATCCTACCAAAAGAAGATAAATGCATTTTCAAGTTTACTTTAACCATATGCTTCTATGAGCATTGTTCAAATGAAGTATTATTACTTTTAAAATGAAAGAATACCAATGTCAATGTCTCCAATGATAGACTGTTTGTAGAGCCCATAGAGTTCTTTCAGTTCTTCATCATCTGGCCTTGTTTTCAGCTTCCTCACATCTTGTGCAACTCTATCAAAATCATCCTAAAACAAAAATAAAAGAGAGGCACACAGTACATTTGCTGACTTTCAGCCAACCAGTCCACTTTAGAGAAGGCATTTACCACCAAGCAGTGGTAACTCAAACAGGAGGGGATAGACTTCAAATAGAAGCGAATTATTACTGTGCTGATTCCCTAAGAATTACCCTCGTTTATTTTAATTCATGGACATATCTCCTGGCTCTTACCTTGTATACATAAAATATGAAGAAATTAAGAATAAATGAAATTCTTAATACCAAAAATGATTTAGCTACACTTAAAACATGAAGAAGACACAGTGGAAAGATATCTGACACTCATGAATTACCAAGAATTAATATTGTAAAAATGTACCACCCAAAGCAATCTAAGCAATGAAGTTCCTGTCAAAATTCCAAGGGTGCGCCCTCTCTGGTTAGGAGGAAGCACTGCAAGCTGGCCGCAGCTGCTTAGTGTGAGTTGGACCCCCAGCCCTGGGGTGATCCACATGGCGAGGCAGACCTCTCCAGACACACCCGCTGCTCCCCTCAGCAATGTACTTCGTCGATCTGCCTACTTTGCCCACCCTGTATCTGGTGAATCCTCTCACCGCCCCTGCACCTATAAATCTTTTTTTAAAAAGAAGTATATCATTTAAAAAAAAAATCCCAATGGTATCCCAAAGTGGATCCCAAAGTGATCCTAAAATCTGGATTAAACTACAAAGAACACCAAATAGCCAAAGCAATTTTTTTTTAAAGATTTATTTATTTGTTCATACAGAACTGGGGTACAGGCCAGAGGTGCAGGGACGGTGAGAGACTTCACCAGAGACACAGTGGGGAGCTGAACAGGCAGATCGATGAAGCACACTGCTGAGGGGAGCAGCAGGCGGGCCAGGAGAGGTCTGCCACACCATGTGGTCACCTCCGGGGCAGGCGGGGATCGAACTCATGCTGAAGTGGCTTCAGTCTCTCAGTGCAATGCTTTAACCCGCTGCACCACCAGGGAGGGCCAAGCCAAAGCAATTTTTAGGAAGAACAAAGCTGGAAGCCTCACACATTCTGATTTCAAACTATACTATTAAAAACACAAAGTAGTATTAGCATAAATACAGGTATGTAAGTAAGAGGAACACAATAAAGAGCCCAGAAATTAACCCATGCATAGAAGATCCATTAATTTACAGCAAACGAACCAAGAACTTATAGTAGGATTAAGGACAGTCTCTACAACAAATGGTGTTGGGAAAACTGGACAGTCACAGACAAAATAAAGAAACTCAGCCACTATTTTAGACCAAGAAACAGAGAGTATAGGGAGGGGGATGGATAAAAGTCATCCAAAGATTCCCTATGACCCAGCAATCCCACTCCTAGGTATCTACCCAAAAGACACAAAAACACTGATTGAAAAAGATACTTGTACCCCCATGTTTATTGCT